GGACAATCTGGAGAAGAAAAGCAGAATCTCTTTTTAGGTTGCTAAACAGTTGCTATTTTTTCTTTCATGTCACCTCTTCATATCATCAAAGTGTCTTCTGTTAACATTCCACTCCCTAAAATATAAAGCTGATTAGCAAACTGCCTGCATTTGACACTGAATCTGCTTCCTCCTCCCTGGTACTTAGAAGTCTGTCATATTTTCACCTTTCTACTTCATGGAAATTTAATGTCATGCACATAAATAAAATTATGATAATTAGTCAGGACCCACAGTCACTGGACAAGCTTGAACTGCTATGAAGTTTTCCGGGATATAAACTAACTTCTGATTCTGATTTCTTTAAATTACTTTTTTCTCTAACGGAATATTTCCTGGGTAATATGTGCTCACTTTTAGTCTCTTCTCAACTTAAAAGGATAGCTGAGGTCTTCTTAAACCACAGCAAAAAAAAAAAAAAATTACCTAAGCAAACTGTTTACCAAGGCTTATAAGAAATTTTAAATGGATTTGTTATTTTCAAGTAATACGTTCAAGTGTGTGTGAGGGGCCTGAATTCTTTGACTGCTGACTTTTCAATCAAAGGAATGATTCTTCACACATTTGTTCACCTCACAGATATGTGCATATTCCAGCAATAGAAATTTACTTTCTAAAAACAGACGCACAAAAACAAAACATTTTCCTTTTCATAAAGGTTAGTTCTCTTAAACTATCATTAGCAGTAAATGACATCATAAAAACAAAACAGACATTATAATTAAGTACAATAAAAATGACTTACCCAGTGTGGTTAAGCTTAAGTGAAATGACCACTTAAGTGAACTGACCAGGTACCTAAAACTTCCCTTTTTAGCAACTAGATGTTGCTTAACCAAAAATAATTAGCCATCTGGAATGGAGCTCTAAAATATGCTAAACATTTCTCTGACTTCCTAGTCAGGTTTCACTGAATAAAACAGAATCTTATCAGGCCAGGCGCGGTGGCTTACACCTGTAATCCTAGCACTCTGGGAGACTGAGACGAGTGAATCACCTGAGCTCATGAGTGCCTGAGCAAGAGTGAGACACCCGCCCCCCACCTCTTAAAAAAAAAAAAGAAGCCAGGCATTTCAGCAGGCACCCTGTAGTCCTAGCTACCCAGGAGGGTGAAGCAAAGGGATCAGTTGAGCCCAAGAGGGCTCAAAGCTGAAGCAAAGGGATCAGTTGAGCCAAGGTTGCTGTGAGCTGTGACACCACAGCACTCTACCAAGGGTGACATAGTGAGACTCTGTCTCAAAAAAAAAAGCATAAACATATCTCAGATATTACAGGTTTGGTTCCAGACCATTGCAATAAAGTAAATACTGCAATAAATCAAGTCATACCAATGTTTTGGTTTCCCAGTACATATATTTTATGTTAACATTATAGTATAGTCTACACCATAACTTAAAAATAACTTTATTGCTACTAACGAATCATCTGAGCCTTTAAAGGGGACATTCT